AACTGCGTGATCGGCACTCTAGGGGACTTACGTGATCTATGCTACCATTCGGGGCACGGTGTTGCGGAGGGACAAAAATATTCCCTGGAGAATGGAAACAAGAGGGACAAGGGACATACACAAATCTCCAAAAACGGCTATGCGACTCGGGCGCGACCGAAAACACTTCGTGGAAGTATAGAGTGTGCGTCTGCATCGGTGTTTGAATTATTAATACTAAAACATGCACCACCGTGGGTGTGTATTTTGTTTCTGCATTGAATACCGCGAACTTCTCCCCAATGGTAGGACGATTTGCTGGACCATTCGTTGTCGAGCAGAACAATTTCGGAACGGTCTGTTTTTTTTTGTTTTGTTTTTTATCGTCGTTTGCACAAATTTTTTCACCTAAAATAACTACCTGGTGAATATTTTTTTTATTTAGAATTTTTTTTAATATAGTCTTATTTTATATTTTTTATCTTATATTTTTTATTTAATATAGTCACAGAAAGATCTTCAATCGTTCCGATTGAAGATCTTTCTGTGACTATATTATGTTATATTAATCTTTTATTGCACCTCTCTTCTTTTTGTTGCACCCCACATACTAACTAAATCTGGAGCGTTCTAATGTACCGACTTTGTACCTCGAAAAGTGTTACACTTCATGAATCCTGACATAAAATCGTTATCGGCGTCAGTTCCCTTCGGCATTCTTGTTGCTGACACAATCTGTGCCTGTGTTCAAACTTCTCAATGTGTTGAATACAAATATTTGCAGACTACATGCACTAAGTTGTGTCTTTTATTAAAATAATTTATTATTTTCAATAAAATGTAATTTCTATGATATGTTCAATAGTTTTAATGAATAAATGGCTTGCCGGTGTAAGCGCAAGTTCTTTTACCTTCGATATTTTAATTACGTCACTTCTGACTATTGATAGCCTAAATCGGATATTCACGCGATATTTGAGGAGCAGGAATGACGCGGTCATGCAACTTAATTAAACAGTTTGCAATCCTTTAAAATTTCTTTTGTCAGATACAATAATGGAACCCCTTAATCTCGTACGGCAGGGAAGGTTGCTTCCGTGTATGCACGCGCGTCCACGCATATAAATTTATTTTATTATTACTTAGGTTTGGGCCTTACCCCACTTCTTATTGACTCGTACGAATATAAAGTTGCTAAATAAGAAATAGCGCTCCTCATAAACGTCCTGGACGTGCACCGGCGCGAGTCATACATGTCGATAAATAATATGTACACACTAAACATTTTCAAGCGTTATTGGTATGAATGGCATGGGTCACACTCACCCCCTTATTGGTGTACAAAAACGCCCTAGGACAAAGGTGTTATTTCTCACATTCTTAAAAGCCGGTGTAACTACTTACACCCTTTACAGAAAGGTGTGACTCTGCTCTACACGATTGTATAAGGGTGTAAAGGCTACAGTACACTCTTCCAAAAAGGTGTACTGCAGCTAGAAGTGCATAGTGAAAAAACCCGAGACTAGTAACGAAACATTGGGACAACAAGCACTGTCTCAAAAAGTTTTGAGAGAGTGTTGTTTGGACAAGATTGGGACATCACGACACTGCCTCAAAAGGTTTCGAGACGTGTTGTGTTGTCCTAATTTTTTGGCCCTAGTCTCCGGGTCGTTTCACTATGATCCTTCACCACATCGCCTGAGCAGTAACTCTCATATTATTCAGCTAGAAGAGGCATTATAAAACGGATAACACAGTCACGGAATATTGCACAGACCGCCGCAGCACTTCATCGAAAGGGTTTTTGGAGATTTGATTGCCAACAAGTTGAAACATGCACCATTTATTATTTTTTTTCAATCACAAGAAACGTGCGTGCAATTTATCTTCTTCTGTCGTGAACTCGCGACAAGCCAATTCAACACATCAAACACCAGCTTTTGTGACCTAATGTTTAGTTTTCGTGACAAAGGCACAAAATTCCTAGAGGCTTAAAACAAATGCACTCAACTTTTTACTAGGTATTTCCTTCGCCTAAACCTACTTTAATTTTTTTTCTACAGGCATCAAAGACCTAGGCTAGAAGGACGATGCACCCAAAGCCACTTTACGCCAACCTTTCTCTTTTGGTATTGAGTTGAAAATCGTGCAAGGTACTTCAAGTTAAATTGGAGTTTTTGTACATCGTCTTTTGTACATCAGGCTTTAGTTTAAAGACATCTTGTTGAAACTGGAGCTTTTGTACATCGTTCTGTACATCAGGCTTTAGTTTAAAGACATCTTGTTGAACACCTTTATTGCTACGACCCGCATAGGCGAAAACACGAGCTTCATACCAAGCCTTTCCAGGATGCAACAGTGAATCTGCTTGTTCGGGCAAGTGCTTGCAATTGTAAGCTTGCCAAAGGACAACTCTACCTTCACGCGCTCGTCATCAACCTCGGGAAGGTAAGACTGAAAGAAATAGTCCCGTTTTACCTTCGCAATTTCACCACGACCAAGAGCCTTCTGAGTCAGTCACGGTCCGTGCGAGTATAGTTAGGCCAGACTAGGACCAGTACCCATGTGTAACGTCATCAACATTCCAACTGGATATTGTTTTATGGACCCGTTAATTTTGACAACCGAAGGCCCCAGTTAAATCTCAAAATTTGCTTTCGTGCAGCATTTATGCCTTCTAGCACAGGTGACGTAAGCCAAACTCGACGTGCTTGCAAAGACGGAACGACCGGGAGTTGCTTGGGACGTAAGCGGCAGTTCATGTTTGTAAACAGTAAAATGGTTCGTTGAGACGGAAGCAGTCTACTATCATAAGCATGCTTGCAGAGTACTTACAAATAAAACAGCGATCTCACGCAATCTGCGATAAATGCATAATCCCATTCCGGCAGCATAGGACAATTCACAAACACAATGTCGAGGATGAAGGCTGTCGCTCACATTCAACGGAAGTCTCGCGGTCGCCGATGAGCAGCCCTCTGTCGAGAAAGATGCAAAACCGATTCAGGCAGCACCAAACCACGCAAATCCTGTGTCGAGGTTGAAGGCGGTCGATCACATTCAGCGGAAGTCTCGCGGTCGCCGATAAAGTGCTCTTCGTCGAAACGCGTCCAACAAACACAGCACAATAATTCCACGGACCCCGAAGAAATAAACGGCCATTACCATAAAGTTGGCCTACATGCATTCTGGCCGTTCAGGACGAACTATCACGGCCGCGACTGCAACCCACGAAAACAGGAGAACACTGACGGGTGCTTTTTGGAAACCGAACCTACGTCGCCCCTACAACTCACCATAACTCGGCATACGGCAGACTACGGCTCCAGTGAGCGCATCAGCGCGTCAGAGCGATTCACGTGACAAATTTTTGTCCAAGCGCTTTTGTTCTACGGAAAGCGGTCACGTGTTTCGCACCACCCCTCTGATTTGCTAGAAGCGGCCTTCGCACTCACTCACAGCCACACGAAGACAGAAAAAGAGGTTTGGAGGCTCATCAGAAGACGAGGTCAAAGGGGGTCAAAGGTCAAAAGCTGGCCATGATTTCTGTCATCGAGGAGTTTTGGAACTGATTCGTGACATTTAGGTTGCCGGAATCGGTGGTCACGGATAAAGGTAGGACGTTCCATGGCCTCCTCTATAGTCACAAAGCCCGGCAGTTCGACGACGGAGCCATAGAGTGCCCGGTCGCAGATTTGGAGAACGAGGGTCTGCTAGCACAGAGCATCAAAGAGGCATTTCTCGGTGAACCTTGACGTCAGAGCAGAGTTTTTGCAGCGGCGAGCACTCGAAACACACTTGTTCGCTCGCAAAAAGCGTGTTTCAGCGTCTCGCCGCAGCGGGGCGCCAGTCACGTGGCTCTCCTCTCATCCGTTGTCTGCCTGTCCATATTTTTTTATTTCGTTGACCGCTTCTCGTGATGATCCCGCAGGCTTTGCCAATATATAGGAGGTTATAGTGGTTCGTATAGCCTGTGACTAAAGTGGTCTTAAAGAACAAAAAAATAACGGTATTAAAGACATCACCAGTGCGCCGTATCATCTGGCAACAAATGGCAATGGCGAAAGGATGAAACAAAAAGCAAAAGTAGCGCTTGCTAAAATGAAGTCAGGCAGCCTTGCATGTATGCTTGGTCGGTTTCTAACCATGCAACATACGACCCCAAGTGTGACAACAGGAACGGCGCCTGCTATGATGATCTTTGGTTGAGAGCTAACAACTGTGATCACTCGTCTGGGTCGCCTTCAGACTGATCAAGAAAGGAAATCAGATGAAAAATAATAATAATAAAAGTTCCCATGAACTTTTATTTAGCAAAGACGCGTTCGCCACAGACTCAACGAAGCAGTACGGTGGATGCCCGGAACTGTCGCAACCGAACTCCAAAGCACCCAAGTAATTCAATCGCTGTAAGTTGTGTTCGGATGGTAGTAGCGTGAAACCGGCTCAAGGTCTTCCATCGCACTGGACAATACCCGTCTGTAGTTAGCCGCCAACAGTGGACGTTAGTCAAAATGCGTCGAACCCTGCGACCATTACACATTCCCACTAACACAGCGCTCCAGGTTCATCCACAGCTCAACGACTCAGACAGCCTTCTGAAATATATGCTGACTGTCTCTAAAAAGAGCAAAAACGTTGTATGTAGATTTGTTTCCTTTTTTTATTGACTCGGTGCTTAAAAACGGCGATCGGGACACACATGCCACGGGATCCGAGTGTGGAGCCACTCTTGAGCATCGCCAGTACCAGCCAGTCGCCGATGGCTGGAACAAAATAAATCCTACCTATTCCGTGGTAACGTTCTGCATACACGAATACGACAAGACAGTGAGACAGGACAGGCGCAAACTTTCATTTAGCGCCTGATCCGTCTTATCCCAAAAACGTAGTGAACTGATATTCATACCCCTAGCAACCGCACAACGAGTGGCTTCCATTATTTGTTGTGGGTAACAATTGTGGCAACTAAATCGTATTTATTTTAACTTTAGCCGTTTTTCCCGTGCTGGATGGTAAAGTAGTGCAATCCAAAACATTTATTTCCAATGCACATCGAAACGCGAACTGCTGGGTTGACCTTGGTTCTTCGTTCACAGCTGCGACTTGCACTAATCACGTGGACACGTTTTAGCCACTTCGACGTCCCCAGTAATAATAACGTCCATAATTACGCGTCGGGGTCGCTGTGGTCGCCCGCCGCGGTGGTGACGCTGGATGCTCGCCTGGTCTTGCGCACACATGTCTCATACAGACCTGCATAAAGGTAAAGGGACCGCGGGCAGAGATTCAGCCAGCGGTTGTAACAGGCGAAAAGTATTAACTCTTTGTCAGTTCGGTCAAACGGCATGAATCGGACTATTGTACACAAGCGTTATTATTTCAAGATATGTTTTAGACTATTGTTTAGCTACCATATATTTTATATAAATCGTAGTTACTTTTTTATTACATTTGTCCTATTTACTATCTAAAACCACCGAATGTAGTCTTGTGTAAATAATGGGATTATAAAAAAATAAGCCAAAAATAAGCCTGTGTAGTCCCAGACCTTAAGTTCTTAACAATTGCGTGCCTAATTTGTGTACTGAAACATCAAGCACAAAAAAATGAATTTTTCATGATTCACAGCCAAGCGGTCTGAAAGGAAGCCACTGAAACATAATGCTGCTGACATGATGCTGCAGAACACGTTTGATCTCACAATCAATATTTTGCAGGGGCTCCTCTTTTCAAATTATCATTCTAATAATATTTAAAGTGTCCGCCTGGATAAAAGTGGAAATGTCTCTAACCAGCAACAATTTTCATTTTTGACTACTTTTTTTTTTAAGATGCACGTGAATCTTAGTTTACAGCGGGCATTTAGAAAACCAATGACTGCGATCTACGAACGGAAAAGGGCCAATGATGATTGCAAAACTATATTAAAACAAGAAAAAAGTATTGCCCACAGCTTGACGTAATGCGATTGACACGTGATGGCCAGGGTCACATCAGAGATTTTACTTTTAGGTCAAAGCATATTTCGGGCCTCTTCATTTGCCCTCCGTCGGTGGATGACCGTCATTCGCTGACCGATTATTCTGCAGGGATGCGAACTCATGAGATTTTTACGTAAGTGACGGTCAAAACCGCCGAAGTTTAATATAGGGATTTGTTGTTTTTTTTTGGTGTGTAAATAAAGTCAAACCATCTAGCAATTCAAATACCAAAACCTGAAATGCTATACAGTCATACCAATAAGACTTCGTAATAATAGCTAGAAACAGATGTTTCAAGCTATTTAAGGTACATCAAAGATTACGGGTCAAATGACATGTGATTTTAGCCCATTAAATTCTTGTTCATTATAATAGGTCTTCTCTTCCAATTACCCCGTTCCCATTCATTTTTACTTCAACGTTCTCAGGAACGTTCGTTTTCATTTTTTCTTTTTTTCTTTTTCACGTATTCAACTCGAAATCAACTTGGTATTAAAATGTGAAATCCTTATAAACGCTACCTTCAATTCCAAAATTCTTTCCGCCCGTGTGTGCATCTATGCATTCCCCGTTAAATTTAGTGGGGAAGTTGATGTAACGTGGATCTATACACAAAATCAGCTTTCCCGCTAAACTTAGAAGGAAGTTTGATGTCACGTGACCTGACGTCATGGTACCTAAGTACTAGTTCAGTTTCCCCGCTAAATTTAGCGGAAATATTGATATTACGTGACGTATACACCGATTCAGTATATAGGCTAAATTTGGCGGCAAAATAGACGTATCATGACATATACGCCAATTCAGTTCTCCCGCTAAATTAGGATAGAAATCGATGTCACGCTACTAGACGTCTTGTATCCAAAGCACCAATTCAGTTTTCCCCCTAAATTTGGCTGGGAAATTGATGTCACGTAACCTGACGTAACGTGGAAAATGCGTCATGATAGTTTTCCCGCTAATTTTTGCGGGAAAATTTACGTAGGGTAACCCGACGTGACCTGACCTTTATACTTTATACATATATCTATAGAGAAAGAGAGAGAGGGATATTAAAGTATGTAATGCTTTTTAAAACTACCACCAATGCAAATTTTGTCTTTTCGTTCGTCCGTTCATTTTCCGCTAAATTTAGCGAGGCAACTGATTTCGCGTGACCTATACACGAACTCAGTTTTCTCGCTAAGTTTAGCAGATAAATTGATGCCAAGTGACCTGACGTCACGGCACTTCAGACAAATTCAGGTGTCCCGCCAAATTTAGCGGAACAATCTATGTCATGCGACCTACGCACCAATTCAGTTTCCCTGCTCAATTTGGCGGTAAAATTGATGTCACGTGACTTGACGTCATGTGGGCTAAAGACACATTAAATCAGAAACGACAACCAAATTAAAAAAAAACTACCCCGTCTTAAACAGTGCATTTCATGCATTATAAAACTTTAAAAGGAAAGGTCGCTGCCAATTTTGTATTACTTAGTTAATTTTAACGGCTTCCTAACCGTATACAATCCTGCATACACTGGTATAAGAGATTGCGAGACTTGTATACAATAGAGTTTTATATATACTACACGTTTATATTTCTTTCTGTTTAACAATTAAACATTTTATTATTAAAGCTGGTGATCCTGCCAGATTGAAAGAACAAGTATAATTCATTATTTCAAAGTGCAACGCGTTCTTGAACAAAAGCACCTCAATCTAGAAACACCTTGCTTCCATAAATCACTCTTTCGTGGTGATCGAATTTCGCCAGCTACTGAGACTTAATGGAAGCTGGAGGGCAACACTGGTTGCTCTTGTCAATGATATTTCAGTACTAAATGTTGAAGAAGACATTTCCAGGAATTTGTCTAAGTTTAAGCAAGGGTCCTGGGCCATACTTCGTTTTACCCCAAGATCCACTAAGTGACGAAGCTATGGGCTGCCAGGACAAATCACGATCCAGACAGAAACCACGATTATTTTTCGCCGTAATGGCACAGACCTCAGTGCAACATATCATGTGGTTTGTATATGCATCGTGATTGGACCTGGCGGACCGTAGTTTCGACGCTTCGCCCTCCCTAAGGAGAGGAAGAGTACGCTAGGTCTGCATATTACGGATCCATACATTCTTCAAAAGCACCCCTACTGTGCCAATATACAATGGCGGAAGAAGCGGCACAGAAGCGTTTTTCATCGTTTAGAGCCAACGGTATTTTTATGCCGAATCCAGGAACCGTCGTTAGCGTCATTCTCTTTCCACTTGACACCCCTGTGTTTCGGTGCTCCTTTTATTTAGGTTGTTTTCCACGTATGTTTTCCTTGCCTCTACATATTTTCGTACAAATCACCTTCCCCGGGAATTTTTTTTTTTTTTTGGGGGGGGGGAAGGAGGAGGGGGAAAGGGGAAGGAATCTCATTCTATGACATGCTTTACGTAGCAACTCAGAGTGCGGAGAACACCCTACACTGTCAGCTATCGGGAACCAACTCGAAGCTTGATTAATGCACAGAGCACGGAAATTTCCTGTATGGCGCTTACCTTTTGATCGCCACATGTCATTCCATCCACCATGTCGTGAACGTAGCACCCTCCGTAAGCTGAGGGGCAGCATAGTAGCTTGCATCGAGGCGCGTAGGCAAGGTGCTACTCATAAAAAACAGGCAGATATCAAAATTAAAATCGCGTGATGCGATGTGTAAACGGTGCAAAATAAGACACCAAAACGAAACATCACCTAAAGGTGATGTTTCATTTTGCCCTTTTTAATGGTAAAATAATCATACAACCGCACTAATTACTTCTACATTGTTATTTGAAAAAGTCACAATTATGAGCATTAGTTTCTGTAGGACCTCTTCCTCAACTCCCTAATCTCGCTGCTTTTTTATAATTTTTTCGTTGTTCTTGCAAAGTGTTTTAAAAAACCCTGCTTTCAGGAATGATTTTTAAAGATTTCATACATTTTTTTTTATTTTATGCTTTAGGCTACCAGACTGAGTAGTAACCTAATTAAAGCTTTTATGTTGGTGCAAGCCGCCGTCTCAGATGAAGGATTCAGCCTATTCCTCCATCCATCCATCCATTCAAAATACCACTTTCGTCCTGCTAGAGTGACTAAATAAGCTCTGGTTTAAAAAAACCGCTGACCCAATCTCAAATTTGAGTGCAGTGTTTATTTCTTGGCGAAGCTTTGCTTTTTCTTAAAATATTCAGCAACGTAAGAGTCCTCTTTTCACAAAATTGTGGTTGAATAAGCTGCTATAAAAAAAAGCAACAAAACATTAGAGATTGTAGAGCGCAGCTCTTAAGCGCCCGTTTCCGGCTTGAGCAGCGTCGCCGTCGCCGTCGGCGTTACCGCGCGTTGCATTACGGGACGTTTCCTATAATAACGTCATGAGTGACGTCAGAAGGGTCCCGCGCACTGCGTTATGGGATACGTCCCATGATGCAACGCGCGTGACTATCGTGACCCGCGTGTTGCATCATGGGACGTTTCCCAATTTGGCGTCACACGTGACGTCACGAGGGTCACGAGTGACGTCATGGCGTTCACGAGGGTTACGAGTGACGTTACGAAGGCCACGAGTGACATCACAAGGAGGAAGGGAAGGAGGGGGAGGAAGAATGGAAGGGAATGAGAGGAGGAGAATGGAGGAAGAGCATGGAGGAGGGGGTGAGGGAGGAGGAGAAGGAGGGAGAAGCAGAGAGTACGGAGGAGAAGGAGGGGCATAACCTTCTCTCCGTACCATGCCCTCCTCCTCTTCAAGAGCTGCGCTCTAATTTGGCATTACAGGGAGTCGTAAACGTCTCCTTTTTTTTAAGAAATAAGTATTTTCCTCTGCAACAATGACGCGCAGTCAAAATGAAAACAGTGGTTAATATCGGTATTTTGTGTAACAAACAAAGGTCGTGCTCCTTACGTCACGTGCTGTTACACGCCATGAATTTGCGTATAAGCTCTTGCAGTAGAATGTTTTGTCTAAGGCTCGTCCCGGAAACGGGTTCCACTTTGTGCCCGGAATTGGTTTCGTGGGCATTGTGAAGGTACTGGACACCGAAATGTTAAAGCATCTTTGGGATAATGTCCTGTGGAAAAAAGTACAGCATGTCATAGAAAACGGTAGCGAATATTTGTGATTTCTTGAATATAGCAATATAATTTTTACGGTCCTGGTCCGCTGGCGAAATGTGGCAGTAAAATGCAGAATGCCTTTACTTTCAAATGCTAGTTCTGCCATGGCCTAAAAGTATAAAATTAATTCTACGTCATCGAGTTCATACTTTGTAAAAAAAATGTTTTAATGAAGCTGTTAAGAAGGCAATAAGAATTAAAAGTAAAAACCATACGGCACTGAGCTGTCGTGAAGCAACGTGTTTAATTATGTTCCAAACAATGAATATACCAATAGGATCAAAACTCCCCAAGTCACCAATAATATTTATGTTCTTTCGTACTTTTTCAGTAATTTCTTCAAATATTACCGACCGCTTCGTTCCGAACATACAAAAGGCCATTGTATGTTCTATAGAAATATCTATCCCTTATAGAACATTTTCAAATGTGTGCGACATCTAGTTGCTCCGAGCCTACATTGCCTGGGCACGCACTTAAATCATGTAATAGAGAAGATTGCTAAGCTACGATAGGTTCAGCGCCGCCAAGGACACTGAACCTATCGCAGGATCGATGCCCAAGCAAAAGCGACCACCAGCGTTGGTTGATTGGACTGTGATCGAGTGTATTGTATCATATTTCATACCAACAAAAAACATTCCTCCACAACAAAGTTTTTTTTTTTTTTGTCGTTTACGTCAATTGTGTTTTGACGTATCGGACGCCGAGAGAGTTTCCCACGCCTAACAGTCACACGCACACACGCGTATGTTGGTAATACTCACAGCACTCTGTGCAAACTCCACATTGCAAGTGTTCGGCAATATCTACAGCCAGCTCTTATTAGCTCTAAAGATGTAGTCGATTATTCGCCGCTTCACTGATTGTTAACAAGCGCCAGTCGACCAGTGACGTAGTTTTCAGTGATCTTTCCCAGTTATCTATCCTTAGCAGTTCTCAGGTTCAATTCAGTCGATTAGACAGAGCCCACAGAGATTTGAAAACATCCAAACAAATTTCAAAGGAAGAAAGAAAGAAACGCGTTTTTTTTTTTTTTGTAAAATTCAATTACGAATGTTACGATTCTGCGTATATATTCCTAAGTTATGGATTTCCTGTGCCGCGCTAAGTGATGAGCAGGTGGCAAGATTTAATCATATTATCCTCAGATGGTCGCATTACACTGGCAAATAAAACCGGCCAGTTTAGTTTTTCACCACTGATTAGCGGTCAAAGATAATACACAAATGCAGAAAATATGCCTGTTTTTTCCCCGTTGAGCAGCCGTTTTGACTGAAGCGTCCAGCGTTAACCAGAGAGCCTATATTTAACAGAGAGAGCAACTCATGACACGGTGAGCGTTTGCAATTTCATAGTGGACGCCTCCTGTGCCGATTGATCGCAAGTGCGAAAGCTCTGCGTTTTCGCGTGGAGAGGAGGAAAGCGGGCGGAAAGGTGGAACACTTGCAGACGACGTCACCACCTCTGCTCGTAATGCAAGCAATGCTCAGAAACCAAAAAACGCCGACTGAGCAGTTGGAAACTATCCAATTAACCAGGTGGCGACCTACCCTCATTTCAGCAAAGGACAGTCTCTCGCCCTGGTTTTCCACTCTTAGGGTGGTAACTAATCCAGCGCCCCACAGCCCCACCAGTATCATGAAAACAGCAGACGATAGTCTGTCACCATCAGGAGCGCGACCGCAAAATTCTACTATGACCGCAGGGCCCGAGATTTTCAGACATCATGGAATAGCCAGGACTATTGTTACATCTAATGGAAGTAAGGAGCATGACGAACGTAAGCCGACTCGGCTCTTCCATTGGACTTTTGACGTGTTACAGCGAGTTTGTAGCAAACACGGCTACTCTTCTGGCGCCATTGTATTATAATCTTCCGCAAAATGAGAGCTGGATCTGGGACGAAACAAAGGAGGACGCTTTTCAGAAGCCAGACCAGATACTGCAGAAGGCTGATGTGCTCCCTCATTTTGATCCGTCACAAAAGTTATGTCCGGAGTGTGCCACGTCCCTCTATGAAATTGGCGTGGTGCTGTCTCACCATGTCGAAAACGGGTACAGACAAATCGGGTTCAGGTCGGGGACACTGCCAAAGGCAGGAAGAAATTCTTTAAAACTGGAGCTTGTACCTTTAGCCTTATCATTTGGGGTGACCAAGTTCAGATACTAGTTGGTGGTATGAGAATTCACTCTCGTAACGAATCACAAGCCCTTGGTAGGTTTGTTGAGGGAAGAATGCGCAACTCCCGTGATGGCGGTGGCCAGTATGGAGCGCTATCAGTACAAAATTGAGTACAGACCGGGGCTCAGAACCAGAAAGCCAACGCACTAAGCCTCCTCCCAGTAAAGGTTACCAACAATGACACAAGTAGGGCTGGGCATTTGGTCGATTAACCTACCGATTAATCGATTAATGCTTTAATCGCGATTAATTTTTTAACCGGTTAATCGGTAATATTTTAACGAATTAAAATAAAGTAAAAAGTAAACGCTTTCACCACGCAGACGTGGACGAGAAAACCTCTATGAAGGGCAAACTTTAGGTCAAAATTTAGCCTAAAGTAAACTGTAGGGGGAAGATTTGTAACTCCTGACAAAGTGCAGATGGTTACACGTCTCCCGGCCACTTCAATAGCGTTTCAGTGTCCGTTTAGCGCAGCAGAGAGAGACTATAGTGCGAACAATCAAAGGAGGTCGCTCCTGCCGGATAATATCACCGAACCTTTTACCTCATGCAGCTGAAGTAATAATGTGTGAGTGCCTCCGAACTGTTCTTAACTACACATTAAGGTTGATTCAAAATAAAACTTGTGTGTTAGGCCCTTTATCTCATGTTCAGCAAAGGCAACAACAGAAAACAAATATTAATTTTTGACTTGCTAAAAATATTTTGCATGGACAATTAACGAGACCGATTAATCGATTAATTGATCGATTAAAGGGTGGCGATTAATCGGGTTAAAACTTTAATCGACGCCCAGCCCTAGACACAAGCGAGCTAGCGGAATATGTGCTCTCAGGGCCGGTTGCACCAACGTCCCTTACCTTAACCCAAAGCGGCTCTTTCTTAAGTCGGCTTAGCGTGCTAAACCGAGCTCGGATAAGCACGGGTTTAAATTCCAGTTGCACCAACGTAAACCCGGCTTTACAGACACGCCCCTAACTAAACACTGGATTTGCCTAGGGAATGTACGGGCAAACAGAGCGAACTAGGGATCGCTTAGATGAACGAATACGATTGGCGGAGAGGAATTTCGAGAAGTAAACAAAAAACCTGCTGTAGTCTGCGTCTGCTTTTCGCTGTATTTCTTCGGTGAGTAAGGAATTAAAGGTCTCCAAATTCAATCTTTTTTTCGCTTAACTTCCAACTACAGGAGTCAACGCTTTAAATAAACACGGATGCTCTTCACGTTTGTGATTGTGTGTTTATTATCGGTCAATAACAGAATATTTTGACAGTGACAGTAGTTCTCGTGCTCACATTTTGAAATAAAGGAGCCATCGGGGGCCCCAAATCTCACCGAACGCCAGAAGGACGCTTTACTCGCTACATCGCTGAAGACAAAACATCATCAAGAGTAAGTAGGCAGGTAAGATGACTACTAACATCAAGTCATGCCTGAGACCGATGAAGTTCAAAACAGTGACGAACTCGCCACGGCAGCTGCGAAAATGCCCGGAAATCGACGAATATAAGTCGTCGAGTTGTCGTCGCCACGAATATAAGTCGTCGTCGCCACGAATGAAAGCTATAAAGCAAAATATTCCTAAAAAACGCGACCACCAGAAAAGTTACGGTTATGGAACGCTACAGTTTTCTGAAGCCAAGATTCTACTCGCGAGACAAGAAAAATTCACCGAAGATTGTCTCAAAACTCATAAAACAAAAGAAATTGACTTTTCGCTGTTTTATAATTTAAGAGCGCCGCAATCTGATGCAAACGGCAGAAGTGTTGACATTCAGCTGATCGCCGAGATGATTTACTGTCACCATTCAACGCGCTGATCGGATTGAACGATATGCGTTGCAAGTAGAAATAAAGAAGGTGGTAAATAGCACTACGTTACAGTTATGCGAAAATCAGTAGAGTAAGTATATACGAATAAGCTCGTTGACAGGATAGCCAACGGGAAGACAGACGTGAGCCCCACAGCTCCGTATGTATCTCGGTTAGGGCTAACACGCACTGAAAGTGGAGAGCCAACTTGAAAACAGGGGTTGATAAACACTTCACGCGAAAATATTTTGCACCCTTGTCACAATCGAAGGTCATTCTGCCGAGACTCTCACGCTGTTCTAGCCTAAAACACTTTGTACAACTAATTTCGGCCACCGCGTCGACAGCCACAAACCAGCCGCCATGTTTTAAATCCAGGATTAAGAAACAATCAAAAGCAAAGCGCCAAATGTTGAGCGCTTAGGATAGGCGTAGTTTAGTGCTAGGTTTAGCGATAAGCGATTTTGGTGCAACCGAACGAAACCGAAATTTAGCTTAGGTTCCCGGCTAAGCTCCGCTTTGCGCTAAGCGGCGTTGGTGCAACCGGCCCTCAGTGAATCAACTTGACGAGAGGATTTTCTCGGAAAAGTAACTGCAAACATTAACAAACCAGGATCAATTTCGCTCACTGGCGAAACCTTAACAGTTGTACGGCTGGCCAAAACTACTAGAACGCGATGATCCGCGAGTGTAATCTTTTTTTGTGTGTGTTTGGAACTCACCGAGGCTCACGATTTGCTCTATTCCGGAAATCTAGTGGTAGACCATAGGCAGCACGGGGCCTAATTTACCAAATGCTGTACGAGTCTCACAAGGGAGCCTCGGCAATAAAAGCGGTTGCTTAACCCTGTTCTGGGGGCCAGGCTTGGATGGTAAGATCGGGCATCTTTCCCGTCACTGCAGTTCGTGTGTCCAGGCACGATCAGTGCCTCGTGCAAATGTTCCTGTGAAGTGTCCGGAAACACACAAAAGGTTGTCGCGTGTGCATTTGTACTTGCAGGGCCTATAGGTCAAGCTATGATATTTCTACCGGTGGACTCTCATCCCAAATGGAGAAGAGCTGTTTTATGAGGAGCGCCACCTCAGATTCAACTATAACCGTAGTGGGCGAGTTCTTCAGCCATCTCGAAATGCCAAGGACTATTGTTACGGATAATGGAACTCAACCTACGTCAGAATTTTTATCTCAATTTTTCTTGGGGATTGACTTAGAACACCTGCGCACCGCACCATAAAACTTTCAGTCTAACGGGTTAGCGGAGAAAGCTGTCAGGGAAATAAAGGATGGCCTAGATAAGGCCAAACAAAGCAGCCTATTCACGCGCCTGGCTATGATACTACTCCCGTGTTGCAGAACGCCTCTGCCGGACGGGACCTCTCCGTCACAGCGACTACTGCGCTTTCAAGGTAGATAGCGCATCGACAACTGCGTACCATCCCCTGCTGCTCCTGTTGCTTCATCGATGCCTCTGCAGGAACCGACAAGTAAGCTGTGGCCCGTAAATGTGGTTTGGGCACAAAATTTCGGAGAAGGGGAAACATGGTTATAAACAAACATAAAGAACAGCGACCGGAGCCGCGATTGTGTGCCTGGATGCACCACTGGGATAAGTACGACATCACAGGGACGAGGTTTGCTCTCGAAAGGTACTGGCACATAGAGCACCCGAGGCAGCGCCGGGAACAACATCCGCCGCTTGAGAAAAGGAAAGCACCATATCTGCAAAACACACTACCTACCTAACCAAACCAAGCCTAACCTAACCTGCCATAAAAATATGTCTGTTATTTCTGTGACTGTGTTATGTGGTACAACCTACAAGAGTGGCTTGAAGCCTGGATTTAATCGTGTCTTCGAGATGAAAACGTCAACGAAAATAGCTCAGCACTGAGATTTTCGTGTGTCTGCGCCTACAGTGGTTGTGTGTTCGACGAGGGTCTGGCAACTGCTACGAACCGACGTACGCGGTGTTTAATAAAATCAACATGAGAAGTACTTTTCGTTCCTTATTTTATCAAATTATTCTTAGCTCGCTGGCAGATCGAGCATGGCCTACTGGGAATGAGATAATTCCGACTCTTTCCTCCATGGCATGGAGGGGCTCTGTGTTTTTAATTTCAATCAATAGTGAAAAGGAAGTTAGTCCGACTGTGGCCCTGAACGCCAGTGTGGCCGATGCTCAGGTATGGTGGCACAGCTGAGCTCTGCACATATTCATGAAAAACGACTGGCGCAATGCTTGCTCGTCGTCGGCTGCTACACCCGACACGCAAGCAAAATGGCTCTGCTATACTTTATTTCAGCTTAAGTACAGACGCAGCGCTAAAAGCGCAAATCACTGGGGCTTTTTGTTTGTGATTATTCCGGTGATGATAGAACACAACAAAAACGTTAAGAACACTATGATGGGATGCTTTTGGCGTTGTCTGAATTGTCCCATAAGCTCGCATCATCGGCTGCGTCTGGACTTAAAGGTCCATTGAAAATAAAATTAACATATGCCTTTTTAACAATCGGGTTGGGACACACGTGTAAAAACAATTTCCCCGAAAAAACAAATTACAGCAATATTGACGGCGCGAGACGCGATTTAATTGGTAGTCACCTCCTTTTCACTTGTTTTCTTTTTCGGCATTTCGGCCGTATGGAAGAGAGCTGGATCGGCTTGTCCATCTCGCTGAGGTGGAAAGATTGTATGACCAGTCCGTGACGTGATGGACTTGGCGCGCAGAATTTAAAATAAATCTCCGGCCATCAATATTGCGTCAAAAGATTTTTTTTCGCGTAATATTTTTTTTTACACGCGTGTCTCAACCTGATTGTTTTAACAAATATGTTTGTTGTGTCCCTTTCAAGTGAAACAAACTATAGGTATCGCCAATGTCTTGTCGCCCTCTTCCAGTAATTAAGCTTCAGTGCTGTAGTCTGAGAGTGCACTGTAATATACTTCTGAAGAGGTGATCATGCTGACAGCTTACCCGGCGAAGGACGACAGTTGATTCAGGGAACAGGTGGAGAATTTCCCGAAATTCTTGCCGCCAGCGACAGGCGCCATAGTATATTCATCACGTGCGTTACAGCCGCTGACTCGTTTTCCGACGGTGGCATAGATGGGTTGATCTCCGTCATGAACACTTCCAAGACTGCCAAATCAAAACAACTTTGTTAAATAAACACTACCTTAGTAGACTGCAGATTAAGCATAAGCGAAATTCGGGTTGTTACTAATGTGGTAGGGTGACAACCCGCATTTGTGTGAGGCTAGAAGACTAAAAAAGGCAGGGGGAACTGAAGATTGCTGAACCTCAGATATAATGAGATGCTCCAGAAAATATTACTTGGCGAATTCTTATTAATTCAGCTACTAATTACGATCTAATTGACCGGTGAACTGCAAGAACCATATTTTTTGTTAAGTCGAGTAGAGTCGGTTGACACGTGCGATATTTCCTCATTTCTGTTATTTTTATATTGTATTTGTGTTGCACACGTCAAAAGACAAATAAGCAAGCAATTTGGTCGACATGCTAACTGGTCGTTACATTTTAAACATGATTAATTATATTAGCCCATTCAAACGGCAGCTGCATGCTCTCGGTGACAGCAAGGCACTAAACTGCCAAAGCTCAGAGCTAAAAAAATAAAATAAGAATGGTTCATGCAATAAATGAAGATACCGCACATATATGGGACAAAGTTCACCTGCTGAAGTTCGCAGTTCATCTGGTGATATAGAAACGTAAATTAAAGGAAAACAAAAGCAATTCTGTACTGTAAAGGCAAAATAAGACGACATAAGAAACTTTGATTAAAAATTTCTTATGTCGTCTCATTTTGCCTTTAGGATCACGAATATCGGGATTATTTTTCAATGACATGCACGCAAGCTGCAGAAAATCATGTTCAAAGTACCGCCGAAGGCCCTCCTTCCCGGAGCGTGACGTCATTTTCAGGGTTTTCGGAATATTTGTTTTCCCGCATCTTCAGCGTCTATCAAAGCTATGCACGCGTACCCCTGCTATTTTCAAAAAGGTAAAACAAAACACGTCACGACTGATATCAGTGCGGGAGAATATGAGGGTTTCTATTTTTTACAAAAATCACAATCCACACCTGGTAAACCGCAGTCCAGCCAGCGCTCGCTCGCAATAGCGGCCAGCCAGAAAGTGTGCTTGCATAACACACACACGCAGCGACGAACGCGTCCTCATACGCATTCATGGAAAGGCGTATGCCTGGCAAGCTTGCAATTGCACTCGCTGCACAAGCGAACGACACGCGCTTGGCCGCCGAAAGATCTGGGTAGGACGCAATGACCGGTCGAAGGTTTTTCCTGTATTATCACGTTTAGTTAAACCTCCGGGGAAAACGAAAGTTGTATTCAGATTCACGGGATAGAAATAATCTAAAATTCCCCTCTAACTCTTTTTTTTTTTTTTTTTTTTAGGAACGGCTTTAGCATGCTTTTGAGACTGAGACCAAAAATATCCGAAAGTAGGCAAAACAAAACTATGTATATTTTCATTTCCGAAAGGAGTTCTAAATGCTATGTATATACAAAGCTTTTCATTGGGTTCGTCCAAAACCAGGATCAAACGCACAAAGCACATACTGCCCTGAGCAGATTGTCAATGAACTGGTGCTTGAATTGCCAGTCGGCCGCTCTGAAATGGCAGCTGTTTTTCTGTGGCGGTTGGGTGGGCGTTTTCGTTTTGTAGCCAAGTCCTTTGCGCATCCCTCTTCACCTTGCTGCGCCCGCCAATGAATCTCCGTCAGCGATTTCATGGTGCACAAAGTCTGCATGCAAGTGGCTTCAAAGTGCGTGTAGTCCACTATGCGCCTCCGAGATAACACTTGAGAAAGTTCCCGGTCGTTCTGAGATAAGATCGAACAACCATGTCCGGTGACCATTTTTAATTTTGATGAAAAAAAAATATTTTGCTGGCGTCATGCCCAAACAAATAATCCCCCCCCCCCCTCCCAATCTTTGTTTTCTACAAAAAAAAATGCTTTTGTCTGCGACACAAAAAAAAAGTTGTAAGCGCCGTCTCAGTGAAGTGCGCGTTCTGCGTATCGCGCGATGTTCACATTTCGGGCGGCTTCCCCAAAAAGACTGTTCTAGCTACGGGCCTAGAAAAGATTATTGAAAAATTAGGCACAGGAAGAATTGACAAAGAGTATTAATCACCAACTTATAAAGTTGTTATTTTGAGAAACAACATCGCAAACAAGGCACATTGCGCAATAACGATCTGGATTCACCATTTTTTTTCTCCGTATCTATAAAAGCTAAGGTCTTAAAATTTTGCCAGCGTGTTGCCCTACATATAGTTCAACTGGGCATGAAATATCATTGCCCTGGTTAGCGGGAGAAGTTTACAAGACTTACTCACACAGGTGCTTTTAACTAAAATGCCTTATTTTTATTTTGAGAATCATTTTTAAAAAAGGACATCTTTAATTTTCTTCACACTCTCCGAAATTAACATTTATAATATGTACTAAACGAATCTGCAAAAAACGTAATGCAGTATGTGTGTGTCTTTGAAGTTATAAAGCCAGAAATATGGCCAAATTGATGTGCACTCCCCATAAATGGGGAGTGCACATTCATATTTTTCACAAGTTCATTATTATTAAAAAGCGTAAAAATGCTACGTGGTTGTAAGGAAAAGACAAATTGACAGCACAGAAGTGGACGGTAGTTTTGAAGGGAAAGCTCCTAATGCATTTTCGTACAACCGACCCAAAAATGCCCATGGGCCGGAGCGATCGAGGTTCGCCATCTTGGAACATGCTTCGCGGTGCCTGTTTCAAGAGCCGACGTGTAGCGTCTCCGCCTACGCGACGTAAAGGAAGCAACCGGAGCAACTTTGCAAGCAGATGAGCCTACAACCTTGGCGGTAACATGATATAGGAGGAAGGGCCCGGCAGAACCTGAACCTGCGCCCCCTGTGAGCGCCAATAGATCCGCCGCCATGGAGGGCCGCACAACGCGTAGAAAATAAAGAAACTTAAAAGAAAAAAGATTTCAGATCGACTCGGATTCTCTGTATTGGACGTTTTCACATAGGATCGAACGACCGCGTCCGGTCGATATTTTTCTTTTAATTTTTACCAAAAGATATATAGGAAAGAATCCCGAAGAAAAGCTCACCGGAGAAAAGCTCACCGCAAAACCGGCGGATGCGGAGAAAAGCTCACCGGCAATTGAACGTAAGCGGAGAAAAGCTCACCGATCTTTTTTCTTCTGTTCATATAGAAGTTATTGGATCATGCGTAACATATATATCAATTCATTATTTTTAAAATTTATCAGCTTTATAAAAAAAGAAAATGTCCTTTTTGTAATATTTGTTAAGCTTATCGGATATATTGCTCCCAAACTAATAATTGCGGGCGAGTGTTTTTCGTGGTTTGCTGTCCAGGCAACGAAAGTCTAACTGAAAACTTCATGAACTTGGAGAACAGGAAAAAGTTCGAAAACTTATAATGTCTGCCTAACACCTAAAAAAAAAGCAAAATGGTAAATGCCGAATATCTGAAAGTGCATGCGCAACAACGCGGTGCCCGAAAATCTCAATGAAGCTTTTGGTAACCTGTGAAAACAGGATAGAACGGTCACTGGGATATCGAGGTTTCTTTCTCCCACGGACATGCATGTTTTCAAGCCGTTCGTGCTGGTGTTTCCACACTTTGCCTTCGTGTGATAGTGTCCTTCTACAGCAAGCCACCCATGACCTTCAGAGCTGCACACTGTCACCGTTCTTAAGCGCGAAACAGATGTACGACGAAACCGTCCGATCCGACGTCCGACCGCGCAATACGACGGTCGGAGGCGAGGGTTTTCAACGCTCTCTGATGCTGCTAAAACCCTCTCCCCCCAAGGTCATTCCGGCAGTCCGCACGTCGGATCGGAAGGTTTCGTCGTACACGTGTTTCGCGCTTTACTCGTGACCTATATAAAAAGTAGCCTTCTGTCAGGTAGCGAATAGGGCGAGTTGGTAAGCGGTATACATAATGAAAACAGCTTAAACGACGAAGACAGGCTGAAGACAACAAACAGGACAGGACGAAGCTGTTCTCACAACTACAGTTTTACTACTGAAAATAACAGAGAGACAACAGCGCAGTCGACACTGATTATGATGAACAAACACCTACTCAAATCTGTCAGGCACCATACAATCTTCGAAGCTGAAACAGTTCTCACACCGCTATTCATACTAGCTCGCAAAAAAACAAACCTCTTTATCTGACAGGGCTACCGACGGCGCACTGTCAAGCAATTGTGGTCTCTTTTACGGGCGTCCGATGTTCTCATTTTATACTTGCGGCGTCATTAATACTCAGAACGGGTGATTACTAATTTCTGAAGAATTAGTAACCGCCGAATTCAGAAACCTCACTCAAGCTACACTCAAACTGAAGAGCCCCTCCACTTCCTCGAGGAAGGCGCGAGGGCCGGCGCTGGCCAATCGCGACGGCGGATCTGTCCTCGCGATTGGCCAGCGCCGGCTTTCGCGCCTTCCTCGAGGAAGTGGAGGGGCCCTTCAGTTTGAGTGTAGTTTGAGTGAGGTTTCTGAATTCGGTGGTAAATATGCCCAAAATCTCCAAGAATATTACAAAAAAAAAAAAAACAATTACCATAATTTCTAATGAAGGGACGAATTCTAATCGTGCTAAATTGCTACGTGTGACGCACAATCCGCTAAGCTAAGGAAAAACAAACGGTGAGCTTTTCGCCGCATCCGCTCAAAGGCCGGTGAGCTTTTCTCCCCATCTGCCGGTTTTGCGGTTAGCTTTTCTCCGGTGAGCTTTTCTCCGGTGAGCTTTTCTCCGCCGCCCAGTTTTCTTGTTGTCCAAGCGCAAAGGCATATTCGAACTTTTTTTGGCGAAAATAAAATTTCTTTTGAGGATCAGAAATAACAAACTCGCTGTCGGTATGCGCGCACGTTTTTGCGAATTGTGTGAAACCGTCCTTCTGGATATTTATAAAAGAAAAACTGTTGTAGACTTATGAATAATGTTTTTGTTTAGAGACTGTACATAAACTAAAAGGAGGTAAACATGCTTTTTTGATTACGAAGCAATTCAGGGTTTTATGGATCCGGATATTGAATGACTGAAAATTTAATTTTAT